CTGGTGGGCTGCTGTCTATGGGGTCGCACGGAGTTGGACATGACTGCAGTGACTTAGCAGCAGCGGCAGCAACTGAATTATAGCTTTTGATTCAAACTGTTAAATTGTGCCCTAGAAAGAATGTTTTTGAGATAGAGGCATTTTCTAGGCCAACAGAAATGAGCTAGTGGTGAGGAAGCAATGAAAAGTGCATGAGTGAGTGAGTGAATGAGTGTGTATATGTTTGTACACGTACAAGAGGTGGAGAGATGGATGCAGAAAACCTAATTTTCAAGGATACTTAATCTTAAATTTTAGAAAAACCATTATCATTTGAGCAGGTAAGAAAATGGGTAGAGATCTAGAGAAATTCTGAAGCAGGAAAGTGGGAAGTCACTGAAACAAAAGCTTGCTGTCTTAGCTGTTCAAAGGCAAACGAGGGCACAAGGTTTCCATCAGAGAGAGGCTGAAGAGCATAGGTGTGAGCTGGCGGTGCAAGAAGAGAGCAGAAGGTTCTGACCACAGCAATCATTAGAGATAAGGCACAGCACTCAATGCCGCTCACTACCACTAATTTCTGAGTTTGCAACTATCTGCAGTCTCTTGGTCTCTGCTGCTCATGATAGTTCAAAAGGGAAAATGACAAGGCAAAGTACACAGACAGTTCCCACTCTAGAGATTCTTAATCTGCAAGATGTTCTTTTTAGGTCTCTTTGGCTGTGTTATGGGCTGGCGAGATCACTGTAAAATTATCACTCAAACTCTTCAGTTTCTCTTCTCTCCTTTTCTCTGGAAAATGCTTTGCTCCCATAGCTCCATCAAAACTGCTCTTATTGAGTGATCTCTAGCTTGCTAATTCCAATGGCTAAACTCTCACTGTTCTACTTGGTTAACCATCTGACCTTTCCAGCTAGAGATCCGGTTCACTTGGCTTCCAAAACATCAAACACACCTCATTTTCTCCTTTTTTGCTGTTGCCTCCTTCTTAAGTCTCCTCTACTGGTACCCTGTTATCTCCCCATCCTCTACATGTTCATAGGCCTCAGGGCTCATGGTCCCTGAGGTCACTTCCCTTTTCTGTTCAAACTCACATCCTTGATTACTTCATCTAGTATACTGACTTTAAATACTCTGGGTTCGATCCTTGGTCAGGGAACTAGACCCCACATGCCACAACTAAGAGTTCAAATGCTGCAATGAATATCAAAGATCTTGCATGCCGCAACTAAGACAGAGAATAGTCAAACAAACAAACTCAAAAAACATGTCCAACATTGAACCATGATACTATCTCCCAAACTTCTCTCTTCTCCATCTCAGTAAATTGGTATCACAAACCTTCTAGTTGCTCGAGGCCAAAAACCTTGGCATTATCTTTTATACTATGCAGGTAATATCAGGAAATCCTACCAATTCTATGTTCAAAATATATCCAGAAAGCAACTATTACCTCGTGACGACTGCAATACAGTACTCTAGGGGGACATTTTAGTCACTGTGAACAATGTCCCCACAGCAGTGCCCCGTGCAACCTGCAAGGCAATATGTGCTGGCTTGAGGATCACCTTAGTTCATGCCATCATCAGCGCACACCTAGATTATTGCAATAGTTTCCTAACTGGTTTCTCTGTTTCTGCCCTTGGCTGTGTCCTATCTGTTCTCAACACAGTGGTCAAACCAAATTTCAGTAAGTCACATCACTGCTCTACCTAGAACCCTCACACAGATTCTCATCTCACCCAGATTAAAGGCAGAGTTTTTGTAATGTTCTATGAGGCCCTACTTAATTTGTTCTCTCCTCACCTTCTATTATCTTTTTCACTTTCCTCATTCTCTTCTAACCATAATGGTATCTTTGCAGTTTCTTAATATTTCATATAAGTGATTTTCTTGGGGTCTCTAAACCTGCTGTGATAGTATGGTTTGTTTCCATACTTCCTCTAGATCTTTACACTCAAATTTCAAATTCTTGGAAGGCCATATCTAAAAACTCTATTTAAAATTGTAACCCCTGCCCATTTATAATTTCTATCCTCATTTTTTGCTTTATTTTTCTTACTAATAGTTATCACTATGTAATATATTTTATGGTTGACTTTTTTAATCTTGATTTTGTCTGTTTTTCCCACTAGAATGTAAGCTCCATGAGGGCAGTGATTTCTGCCTGTTTGTCTCACAGATGTATCCCCAGATTCTGACATATTTCCTGGCACAGAGAAGGTATACTATTACATATGTTTTCCAGAAACAAAAGTTTAGTCAGTGTATAAAGAACTTCAAAAGGAATAAGAGAAGGTTTTGGAGGAGAGTGGGGGAAAGTTAAAATAGAAGTTTAAAAGTAAGTAGGAAGTTAAGAAGCACAACTTCACTTTCTTTTTTTTTGTGTGTGTTACAATTTTTGCTTTTAATAGTTACACATATTTTAAAGAACTTAAGAGGAGACATTTACCATCTATGTTCTTCCTTGATTCCCTCTGTTCCAAGTTTCCCTCTGCTATTATTTCCCTTCAGCCTGAAAAACTCCCTTGAGCACTTCTCTTATAGGAAGTATGTAGTCCTCTTAAGTTTTCCTTCATCTGAGAACTGACTTTATTTTGCCTTCATTCCTGAATTTATTCTCTCTAGATATAGTTATTTTCTTTCAGCACTTTAATGATGTCCCACTGTCTTCTCACTTCCACAGTTTCTGATGAGAAATCCCTGGCAATTGAAATCATTGCTCTACACCTAATTAACCATTTTTATCAGACTGGCTTTTTTAAAATTATAGCAAAATGTGCATACACATATTATAAAATTTGCCATCTTAACCATTTCTGGGGAATGAGCTGGCAGTCTAGTGGTTAAAACTGCCAGGACCTGGGTTCAATCCCTGGTCAGGGAACTAAGATCCTAGAAACCACACGGCATGGCTATATATATATACATATATAGTATTGTTGTTGTTTAGTCACTAAGCCTCATCTAGCTCTTTGCAACCCCATGGACTGTAGCCCACCAGGCTCCTCTGTCCATGGGATTTCCCAGCAAGAGTACTGGAGTGGGGTGCCACTGCCTTCTCCAGCAACTTCACTTTCAGGATGTGCTCTAGACAGGCGTCCCTGTCATGCCCCCTGGCCATTTGCTCTGTGGTTACCTGCGAGGATGGGATTTAAAATCAATGGAATGTGAGAGTCAGGGAATATCTTTGGGAATACCCTCACTTCACAGATGAGAAAGTTTTGCTTCTGTCTGAGTTGTGTAGGCAGGGCTTTAAATTATTCATTGCAACAAAGACATGTTCCACTTAGCTCACTTATGCTAACATGTGACCTGCACAATCCTGGAACGTGGAAATTGGCAGCTAAGGTGGGGACAAATCCTTTCACAGAAAAAAAACCAACACAGAATGGAATTAAGCTCTCTCATCCAAATGTTTTTAAACATCAACTATGTCCACAGTTTTAGCAATCACATATGTATTCTAAGGAATAAATATACTTTTCCAGTTTCATTAGCTACTACCACTTAGCTAATTTAAGATACTATTCCTGGTGGAAAAAATATTGATGAAAACAAATCATGGGCCAAATAAAGAACTAACAGAGTTAGTATCATTTAGTTTATTAAAAATTTTACTTTTCCTTCAAATAAGAATTAAGTTAGTGTCAAAAACCATTTAATGTATAATGGTTCCAAAGCTTGCATGCATGCTAAGTCGCTTCAGTTATGTCCAACTCTTTGCGATATCATGGACTATAGCCCACCAGGATTCTCTGTCCATGGGATTCTCTAGACGAGAATACTGGAGTGGGCTACCATAGCCTCCTCTTGGGGGTATTCCAGACCCAGGGATCAAACCTGTGTCTCTTATGTCTCCTGCACTGGCAGATGGGCTCTTTACCACTAGCACCACCTGGGAAGCTGTATTTGTAGAACCGTGTCAGACACCAGTCTGAGATGGGTGACTCTGTTTGCTCTAGTTGATCACTTTGTTTCCAGAAACAGGGTATCAAGACATCTGGGGGAAAATGGACTAAACAGGCTTTCCCTAGATTTGCATTTATGCATATTTTCTTTAAGGAATAAAATTGGGAATTTTCTCTGAGCACAGGCAGAAATTGACAATGGGAAAATAGGTGGCCCATGAGTTTTGTTACATTTATAGAAAACCCAGCATGGAGGTAAAAACTGCTGAGATAAACCAGAACAGAGGCTTTAAACACTGTGAGAGAGTGGATATTACCTATTTTTATTAGGGATTCTAGTTCATGTTATAAAATTCAACTTCAGTTTTTTGCGGGATTAAATTTCTGAAAGCTAAAGGACATCAGAAGACAGACTTTGGTTCTCACTTTTCAAAGAAACTGAACGTACATAATAAAGGGTGATGTATATTTATAGTTAAACTGGATAAATACTGAGTTATTGACTAAACTCACTTGCATAACTTATATATCAAATTCATGAACCAGCATTTAGGTCTGAGGTTACTGTGTAGGAGATTAATTTGCTTCTGACTAATATAGGGGGAAAAAACCATAGAGTATAGCTTTGAAATTAAATTTCTGAACACAAAGTGATTTCTGAACACAAAGACAATTGATCCTATTTCCATATGCATTTTTCTTTTACCTCACTTTAAACTCATTAATTTTTTTATATTCATATAAATAAGAACGATAAAATGGAGGAAAATAAGGAAAAATGCTTTGATATTTTTTTCTAAAAATAAAGTTTTAAAATGCTCAAAAGAATGAGATTAAAGTCAGACCAATTTCAATAACATAGAAATCAAAGTGTGTGTTGTTTCTGGTTCCTTTGGCAAAATACAGTGTTTCATGAACTAGATTTTTATAGTTATTAAAAAGAAATAAAAGTGTGTATACTTAGTACCTCTAAGGTCTCTTTCAGAGCTCATGTCCTATAATTCTGTGAAACTCGAGCTTGACATTAGTTTCTATTTTTTACAAAGCAAGGAAGAGAGATGTGGTATTTCCTAAATGGCTACAAGTAAAAATTTTATAGAATCATGCACTTACCACAAGACCATCTTGATTTTCATTGAGCTCAGAAAGTTTGGAACTGGATTTCTGACGTTTAGGTTTACCCCTTTCTCCAATATAACCAGAAGTATTTTCATATAATTTTTCCACTTCATGAGCATTCAACATACATTCATCCAGATTGCTGAAGCCAGAAGGAATATTTTCTTTGTTGAGAAGTCCCCTTGAATTGAAAAAAAATTAGCTTCATTTTACTTTAAAAGGCAAAAAGGACGTTTTAATGACACTGCATCGATATGCAGAAAGAAGAGTGCCTAGAAGTTCCATGTTTCATCTTTTATCAAAATCTGAGCAGAGTGCTACTCCTGAGACCACTTGGTACCAAATGTATCAGATTAAAAGAGAAATTATTCCTAAAGGCAAACTGGTGAGGGCTGTGTTTCTACCAATGAAAAGCTTTTGTATTTGTACCGAAAGTAATCTGTATTCAAAACCAGGGGAATTGTGTAAACTTGCAAAGACATTTTTCATTATTTGTAGGTTTTATATACATATATATATACACATACATGAATCTTATAAATATATTAAGAAAAATCTGAAAAGGAAATACATCTTTTTCTCCAGAATGGGACACTGATTTTCTCCAATTGAGAAAGCCATTTTATCACCCAATAAATGCATTAATACCTAAATCTGACTATATTAGATGATCCTGGTAAAAAAGATATAACAAGAACTATGGAATACAAAGCATTTTAACTGAAATATGGATTCATTACTTCCCAGTACCAGTTTCTGAATGTAAGCTTATAACTAGAGTTCCTTCATGACTTAGTTTTAGAAGTTTTAATTACAGAATTTAATTCATTTAATGCTCTTGAAATGTTCCCCTTAAGCATTTTAACATTCTCTTTTAAGAGATTTTTCACAAAGTTAAAGTACCTGGCGAAATGTTTGTCTTTTACTACATCACAGAACAAATTAAACCATCAGTGCAGCACCATTTCGGAGAAGGCAATGGCAACCCGCTCCAGTACTCTTGCCTGGAAAATCCCATGGATGGAGGAGCCTGGTAGGCTGCAGTCCATGGGGTCGCGAACAGTCGGATACTGCTGAGCGACTTTCACTTTTCACTTTTCAATTTCATGCACTGGAGAAGGAAATGGCAAGCCACTCCAGTGTTCTTGCCTGGAGAATCCCAGGGACGGGGGAGCCTGGTGGTCTGCCGTCTATGGGGCCACACAGAGTTGGACATGACTGAAGTGACTTAGCAGCAGCAGCAGCAGCACCATTTGGTCAGGTACAAATGAATGAGGCTTACTCTCCATCATGGTGTGACCTTAAAGGTACTTCCCTACAACTAGAGATTACCATACTAAATGAAGTTAAGTCAGATTAGAAAGACAGATACCACATGATATCACTTGTGTGGAATCTACAATATAGCACAAATGAACCTAACTACAAAACAGAAAGAGAATCATGGACAAAGAAGACAGATTGGTAGTTGCCAAGGGGATGGGAGGGAGGGATGGCGTGGGAGTTAGGGATTGGCAGACGCAAACTGTCGCGTATAGAATGGATAAACAACAAGGTCCCACTGTATAGCACTAGCAACTACTTTTGATATCCTGGGATAAAGCATAATGGAAAAGAATATAAATGCGAATATATATATGTGTGTAACTGAATCACTTTGCTATAGAGCAGAAATTAACACAACTATAATTCAAATTTAATTTGAATCAACTATAATTCAATTTTAAAAATATATAAAGATAACTCCTAACCATCCAAAACTGTATTCGAAATAAGTGAGCTCCAAAGTGTAAAAATAAATGAACATATTTTACTATCAATCACATCCCCAAATGAAACAGAGTAAATTAAATATTTATTCTGTAATTTAAATTCATATCCTGTCTTAGATAGGCTATCATGGAGGCAAAATTATGAATTAAATATTATCATAATATTTTCACCATTATACTATCTTGGTGATTTTTAATATTCCATATTGAATCTAGCCTTATTTTATACTTTTAATGTACAAATACATACATTTAGTAAAATTACATAGAAGATGTATGTTACATTTATAAGAAATATTCCAAGTATAAAATAAATGAATACATGAGGAAAAGTTGCTAGGTACTAACATGCAGGCACATACACAAACACTCTTAAATCTCTCTCGAATTCACAATGATTTTACTATAATATTTAACTATGTCTCTTTCTTTGTATTTTCTTAATTCCTGGGGTGTAGATCCAATTATAATTTTTTAATGGAGGAATTTTTAGGTTTGAAAGCTGTTGGAGTTGGTGATGGACAGGGAAGCCTGGCGTGCTGCAGTCCACGGGGTCACAAAGAGTCGGACACGACTGAGGTACTGATACACTGTGTACCCCCACCTCCCCAGTTCACACAGATGAAGCCCTACCTGCCAGTGCGACAGGGCCTCTGAGGAGGTAATTAAGGTTGCATGAGGTCATGAAGGTGGGGACTTAATCCAAGAGGACTGGCATCCTTATAAGAAAAGGCAGACACCAGAGAGCACAGACGAAAGGCCGCGTGAGGACACTCAGTGAGCAGGCACCGTCCGCAAGGCAGAGAGGTCTCAGCACACACCCACCCTGTCAGCACCTTGATCTTGGACTTCAACCTCTCTGAACTGTGAGAAAATGCGTTCCTGTTGTTTAAGTCTGAGGTACTTTGTTACGGCAGCTTGAGCAGATTAATACAAAAGCTAAAAATTATTTTTAGAAACTAAAGGACCAAGTTTATTTTCTAATCTTTTTGAACAGTGAATGAATGACTGGAATAAATCCTGTTCAAATAAATATTCCCAAATCTAGCTGTGCAGTTGTGCTCAGGTGGAAATCCTGCCGTCCTCAAAGGGTGCTCTTTGCTCTTGTGTGAGTCGGTGCCTGGGCGACCCTGAGGAGCACAGAAGCATGATCCTTCCAGTAATATCCCGACTCTCACACCTGACGCCACCGCGATTTAATCTGAACTTAGATTCTGGTGGCCGCTCACTCTCACTCTCCACATCTTAGGTTTTCTTTTTTCAGAGTTTCCTCCTTCCCTTACATGCATGCACATGTAATGTTCTGGCAACACTGAACTTTTTAATATTCTAAGATAGCACGATTTTCTTTTAGTTTGCAGTAGGAATTTAATATCATATTTATATAATAAAAATAGGTATAATTTTTTAGTTCATTGTGTTTTGGAAGATTACAATCATTTTCAATAGCCATGCTTTGCTTTTTAAAAAAAAATATTTATTATGAAACTTTCAAACACAGAAAAATACAGGGACTATCACCATGAACTTCCTTAAATCCACCACCAAGATTCAACAATATTTTCATGCTCTTGGCAGGTCAATTTTTAAATGAGAATTAAATTGAGCTCTCTCACATAATGAATATATTCCTTAAACTTTTATATTTTTAGTGTAATAAATAATAAGCCTGATAATGTTTCCTTATGAACTGAGACAAATAAGAAATCATGTACACTAAAGTATTTCTAGTCTATCTTCTGCATTGCTTATTTTAAAAAATGTCATAATGGTATTAATACAGACTTTATTGACTCTCCAATCTCACCCTGAAACATAGGGATATTTTTCTAAATGGTTGCAGGAAAACAACATATCATGGATTTTTCAAAACATTTTAAAACCTTTCCACAGGGCTAATAGTTTTGAATAGAAGATAGTGAAGTGTATCTTTCATTCTAATTTTTTAAGCAAAACTTGACAGAAATCTTAGATAATAAATCAATTATGTATAAGCGAACACTGAGAAAAACATACTTGCTATAGGTTATAGTAATGATTCTTAACATTTTCAAATCTGACACCATGTTAAGTGCATCTCTTGGGACATACTGAAGAGGACCTTGGATGCGGGGGCAAAAGTAGCAGAGCTAGAGCTCTGAGAGATAGGGCCTTGTTCCTCCAAAGCTGTGGAGAGCTCAGAGCAGCCTCTGAGCTTTGGCTGAAAGCTAAAGGAGAAGGACTCTCAAGACATGATAGTGACTAGGGTGACAGGTTAGCAGGGGCCTTATGACCAAGAGGGTGAGGCTAACAAGGAGCATGGGAAGGGGACTTCTGGTCACCCAGACCACACACTAAGGAAAGGAATCAGGTGAGACTGTAAGTTTCTTCTGCCATAAACAGTTTGCACGCCAAGATTCTCTCACTCAACACACAGTTGACCATGATGAGTGAGAAGGATGAGCGATAAAGGAACTCCAGAGGAGAAAAAGGCTAGAGCTTCATGGGCACCTCTTCAGATTGTTAGGGGAAGCACACTGACTGAAACCGCCCACCCTGGCCAGGCACCACAGTAACCATTTGCATGAGCTGTTTTATGACAGGAGGTCCTGGTAAGGAACACGGAACTAATAAGCCACCGCCAATTGGAAGAGTTCAGGAAAGGTCAAAAGGAGACACCAACATGTCCGACCACCTCCCAGAATCCTTCTCTCTGGCATCCATCTTGGCTGAACACGGCGTGCACCACCAGAAAGGACTCTGAGTCAGAATGATTGGCTAAAGACAACCCGGAAACTAATCCCATCACCATAAAACCGACTGCAAGCCGAGCCAGGTGGCAGAGCCGTTCTCCTGGGTTCCCTGACCCTACTACTCTCTACCCGGGTGCCCTTTTCCAATAAAGTCTCTTGCTTTGTCAGCACATGTGTCTCCTCGGACAATTCATTTCCGAGTGTTAGACAAGAGCCCAGTTTCGGATTCTGGAAGGGGTCCGCCTTCCTGCAACAAGAGGGTTAGTTAGTCTCTGCCATCCTCCACCTCCTTTTGTTCCGCTGATGTTGACAGTGGGGAATAATCAAGGTGACGTCTAAGGAAACATCCTCAGATGTGGGAAACTGTATTTAAATTCTGCAGGAGTGGTTATGCTCTGTTTCCTATCTCTCCCCCCGTCTAGCACCCTGTTCACTTTTGACTTTACCCTGCCATGCTCGTCCTTGGTCCACCCAATGCACCTGCCACCACCAGGACTGTCGGCCGGCTTTGTTCTAACATGCTCCTCTCTGTCCCAACAACAAGGGTAGAAAGCATGATGTCGTGACACCCTAAGGATTTTGAAAATGCAGTGTTGTTACATACAGTGGGGCAAAAAATAAAGCAGACACTAAGAACAGTGTTAAATGAATAACTGGTGCTTGCTGAATAACACGATATAGGTAGTATACAAACTAATTATATTCCTAAACATTTTTCTATAAAGCTTACTCAGTAACTAATTTTAAATGTAAATATGTCCTATATTATAATTTTCCTATTTTCTAAAAGGAAATGTTATAGCACCCCCTCCTACCCACCAGCTCCAAAACAAATGTTTTCAAAAAAGTGTTGCTTATTATCACATGAAAAGTCAGTGGGTTATATAACTGATACTTTTTAATTTTTAAAATTACTTTTGCTAAAATAGCTCTTAAATATCTCAATAATTTGAAGCATGGAATTTATTTATACTATTTATCTTATATCTTTAAGCAAAGATAAGTTTCTTTTTCCCCATAAACATTTTGACATAGATTATGAGTGCAGGTGAAAAAGAATGTGGGGAACTAGGGTTTGATTTAGTCTTTGACATTTAATAAGAAGTAAAAAATAATAACTTTATAGAGACTAAATGCTATAGTAGGTAAAACTTTCAGGAAAAATATGAGAATATAGTCTATTATATATAAATTTATTTCTCCTAACAATTTAAATCATGATTATTCAATAACATGAATGGTAATTATTCATTTCTATTTTATCAAATCTTTTAATGGGGAAAAGAGTTTATTGTAATACTCTTCTTGAAATTCATGCTAAGAGAATGCTTTGAAATGAGCCATTGTAATAATAAAGAACTCAAGCATTTCCTCTTTTGTTAGACTTGAGCTCAGCCTTTCTTATACTAAAACATAATCAACTGTCAGAGCATTCCAGTGACATTCTGGTATTTAATCAGGTCAATATAAGTAGGGAAATCTGCTGGCTCATAAGAAAATCTAACAGCAAGCTGAATGATGTCTAACAAAGAAAAAAACCACCTCTGGACAAGCATCTGGCAATTTTCTCTTCTAATGGTGCAGGATCCTCCTAAATAAGATATTGATGAGAAAGCCATGAAATGTATTAAATCGGAGGTAGCTTCCCACCACATATGAAATATCCAGATGAAAATGAAATATTTATTCAATCACCTGTGAATTTCCAAATGTTAACTACACTTAGAAGGGTCAAGGTGAAAACTTTTAAAGTTTTAACCTGAACACTGAAATGAGCATGCTATAGTCACAAACTCAGACATGCATCATATATTTTTAAAAGAAGAGAGCAAATGTAAACAAGAGTATCAATGCCAACTCACACATCTCTGCTGTGTCGAATTTCATCCTGCTCCTTAGCCTGGCGTCGTCGCTGTTTGGTGGATGTGGAGGAAGATGATGATGTCCCAGATTCCGAGTCCTCTGAACTTTGGCCTCCAGAGCTATTAACATCAAAAAGATGTTGTTCTACAGCTGACCGGATGGTTCTTTCTAAGAGCCTGGTTAAAAAAAAAATCAATAACTGTGTTTAAAAATATGTCCCCATACATAGACAACAGACTGGTAGTTGCCAGGCGGGGAGGAGGTTGGGGGAGGGATGGACTTGGAGGTTGGGGTTAACAGATACAGGCTTTAAAATACAGAATGGATAAACAACAAGGTCCTACTGTATAGCACAGAGGACTATATTCAGTATCCTATGATAAACCATAGTGGAAAAGAATATTTAAAAAAGAATGAATCACTTTCCTGTACAATCATAAATGAACACAACATTGTAATCAACTACTCTTCAATAAAAAGTCCCCATAATATTGGAAATATCAGCATTTCCAATGGAATATCTACTACCACTTCGTGAGCAAAGACAGTATGAGGAATTAATCCTCCAGTATTTGCACTGTGTATGAGAAACAAAACTAAATAAAACATATTCCACCAATCAGATAATTGTGTTTTCCATCTTTGTGGGTCCAGAATTACTGAAATGCTCACAGCAGATTTAGCAACAATTACAGGAGGCATTCAGGAAATAAGGATCAGTTAATACATGGCAGAATGAGGAAAGATTTTTTTTCCTCAAGGAATAATGAAGCTATTCTTACAAAGGCAAGTATCTTTCAGATTTCATACCAGTTCTGCAGGGGAAGACAGTATGATTTACAAAGCAAATTGGCACAAATAACTTTATGATCCTTACTAGCCATTTGAATCTCTTGAAGATACAATTACATAGAAAATAATGCTATTAAAAAAGAACAACTTACCAGAGCAATTACTCTTAATAACAGAAGGGTAAAACTTTCTGAATCTCTATTCAGTTAAATTGTGATATAAATGATTGAAACTGTATTCATGCAAACATTCCAATATATACTACTGAAGAGAGAAGGACAGATTTATTTTATTCAACGTGAAGAAAACAGGTAAGCACAAGGGGCTGACAAAAGTGATAATAAGACAGATAAGGTAACATTTTTAAAGCTATATAGTCTTTCAATATGTCTAAACTCTTATCACTTCATTATTTAATTCTGAATAAGCAGGCATGAAGAATTCTAAACTGACAGTCCTCAAAGTGTGTTTTTCTTCACTTGAAAAAAGAATCACATCCAAACTCAACAAATTATTGAGTTGGACTTGTTGCCATCACTAATTTGCTTCCTTTTCTGTGTCCATTAAAAATGTGTATAGTTTTTGTATATACACCTCAATAAAGCTGTTAAAATAAAAAAATATATATTTTAAATGGTCAGATTGAGAAATACATTTAGTTAAATAGAAAATTTAATAATTTAAGAACTTTTAGATCTTCCAAAGGTAGTTTTATAATAGACTCATAGTAATTTCATTAAAACTATTTTAAGACAATGAGCAAATGTAGTCTGACTTGGGCATAGAACTTTAATATCTTGAACTCCACATCCCAACAATTTGAGATTACCTAATAGTGGTACTTAGGAATCTAAATAAATTAATATATACACACATACCAAACCCACACCTTTTCCAAACACTATACAAGTCACATAAGAAGTAAAAGTTATTAGGAAACAAACAGGCAAGGATACGTTTATCTTGGCATAATTCTAGAATCTCTTTAAAATTCATAAAGATAAGAGAGATCAAATCTGCCCTCTGATTGCTTCCTTGTCTAATAAGGAGGAGAAAAAAAATCCCCAATCAGGGATTTCCAAATTCCAAATTTCCAAATCCCTGGAAAAAAAATCCAGGCAAGAACACTGGAGTGGATAACTATTCCCTTCTCCAGGGGATCTTCCCACCCCAGGGATCAAACCCTGGTCTCCTGCACTGCAGGCAGATTCTCTACCATCTGAGCCACCAGGGAAGACCTATTAGATTCAAATTCATGCTAATTAGTGCTTCTGCTAAATCTTTTCTCTTCCTCCTTATCACACCACCTGATATCACACCACTGCTCCTCCCCCTGATCTTTGCTGATGAAGATGCTCCAAATGGCCCACCCACGCCCCAGCAGTGTCATACAGCTGAAGCACAATGAACAATGTGGTCAGAATAGTAGCTGGGGGTAGATAACTGGAATTCGGATTTTCATCTAAGTGTGACTAGTAGAATTAAAAGGAAAAAGCCGTGTGATGGGCGTACTTATTAATAGCAGAGCGCGGCCACTGCCCAGAGGAATCAGGACTTGTTGCCATCACTAACTTCCTTCCTTTTCTGTGTTCTATCAGACTGGGAAGTCCCCAAACACAGCTCCCAAGGCTCAGTGAACCTCAGACACCTAACACTACGCTGAGTGTACTGCAGGCAGTCAATAAACGGAGGCTGATTAAAACAAACGAAGGAAGAGGTAAAATATATGTCCATACCTTCACCTTTAATGGCAAGACACTTCCTAAACCACACAGACTGCTTTGCACATATTAACTAACATTATTTTGACTGAAATAAACAGAAAATCTCAGATGTTCACACGGCCAAGCTCTCTCCAGTCCCACACCCACACAGAAGCTCAAATAGGAACATTTCTTATTTAGTCTTCTCCTCTAGGTAGTCAAAAAATCATCATTGGTTATATACTATATTAATCTTCCAATGCAGCACACCATTAGAATAGCTTTTTTTACTGCTTAGTAAGTGAAAGGAGGGGGAAAAGCCCAATCCGGACCACTTACTCTCCAGTTGTTGACACGCTGCTGACTTGGGACACGTGGGCACTGCTGGAAAAGAAGCAAAAGAAAGGACGTCAGATCAAGCAGAGGACCAGAGCCTGTGAACCAACATATGAGGAGATCCTGGGCTGAAAGTATTAGCCAGGCCCCGAGAGGCCCTCGTGACATTTTATCACCCACTGACAGACACTGGTTTCTCTTGTCTCTAGATTAGAGATGGCCCTGGTGGTCAGTTCCAAACAGCAATTTTTCTCCATTTTAAGATGTCCACGACAGATAATTTCCAAAGGGACGTCTGAAAAACCATCTCTACCTTTCAGACTACTGCCATGGTCCTAAGTCCAGGGTCTTCTCATTTTCCTAAATGTTAATTGCAGCTGACTGCTTTTCTGTTTCTCGCTCTCCCAGCCCAAGTCCATCTCTCCTGCCCATTCCCTTCAGACATACAGACGGGAGCATCTTCTTAAAACTGCTCTAAACATTGGGCAGGGGTGGTGGGAGGCAGAGAACAGGGAACAAACACTGTTTTCTACAGGACTCTACCTGAGCCACCTCTTCTGCCTAAGTTCCTCATGATGAAAAAACACCTCAAGTTCTATAACGTTTCATCTTAACACCTAATTTATAGCCCATCTATCGAGCATTTATAAACTTCCTCAATTTTCTCATTTTCTCCAAATCCTGAATTCTTTGAAAGTACTGAAAAGTAGTAAAAAAAAAAAAAAAAAGCCAATATAAAATGGAATGGTGAAATGAGAGAATACTATCTGATCTGTACCTTAGCACAGTGAGGGTGCAGGCTGGTGGCTGTTCTAACCACACCAGTGGCAGTACTTCCTCACATTCTGGCCTGTAGTGCTTACTTGTATTATAAACCAAGATTCAAAAGTATCAGATTTAAAAAAATCTTTTGGGCATGCCAAACTACCATTTTGTCTAACAAATCTAACAGTCCTCCCACTTTCAATTCCCTCTCTGTAAAAGAGAATACAAACTGCTAATAGCAAGATCAATATTCATGGCTGCCTTTCAATCACTCCAGGCATCCTCATTTATACTACAGAATTTTCAGCATACAAATGTGTTGCTTCTTCCATGTATGTCTCATCTCTTTCCATTTAGAATCTAAGTGCCTCAAGGGACTCTCTAATATTTCTCATTTTCTTTCATGACACTACGTACCACCAGCACCATACCCAATACAGCAGTTATTATCCTAGAGGCGATCAACAGACACTCACTCTTCAGCCTCAGAGAAGCCCTTTAACTAAAGCTGTAGCTCTTTGTCGTGGCCACAAACCACAGCCAAATCCTAGAAAACCTGCACAAAAAATGCTAATGTGTAGTTATGAGAAGCTCATGAGAATCTTCGTTAATAAATGAATTAATGAACAAACAAACATACCCTAATGATTACTGAGTGCTCACTATGTTTCAGACACTGTGCTAAGTATCATTCACACAGCTTTTCTCATTTACTGTTTACAATAACCCCGTGAAGTAGGTAGGTACAGTTGTTTTCTTTTCCCTATTTTCAAATGAAGAGGTTAGAGAGGTTAAATAACTCACTCACAGTCACAGAGTCAAGAAGTAGATGAGCTGGAATTTGAACCAAAAGAGTTTTAGCTTAAGAGTCTAAGCTCCTAATCACTCCACTAGACTTTCAATCCATCACTCACTAGAAGAAACACTCCCTAGAGTCATCTTCGTGTATGGAGGCATGGACTTAGGTATTTAACTTTGCTTTTAATTACAACGATTTCTGTCTCACAATGTCTGCTATTCATAGAGGTTTCCAGGTTACATAACCAATAATAAATCCTTTGCTGCTCTCTGTCCTCAGCTGGAATGGGCAGTCCCGACTTCTGATGCTTTGTGGCTCACCCTCTGTAAATTAAACACTGTATAATTTACTCCTGTACTCCACTTCTCATGCTGTTATGCAACCTTGCTTTCGGGAGCAGTGGCCAATGTGAATAATGACTCTGGGAGAACCTAGAGGAGGGAAGAGAATATAGATCTGCTAGATACTAAAAACATGACAAAGACATGTAAGTACAGTCAGCCAGCCATGCCATCTCAGAAAGAAGATACATTTCCTCTCTTTCCTTCTATACACTTTTGATCTGATCTTCTTTTTGCGTATTTAAGCACACAATGCTATTTTTATATTCCTTTTTGGTGAGCAGGAAAGAGAAGATGAAAAACCGCGGGGAAGAAACAGAAGGGAATGACAACAAACGGGACCAGGTTCTGAGATCTGTAACTCTCTCAGTAGGTGGTTCTCAAACTCGAACGTGCATCCTGTTCACACACAGGTTCTGATTTAGTAAAGTCTAGGTGGAGGGAAGGGGAAGCTGGGATTTTGCATTTTTAACAAATTCCCCAGTGATCATGATGCTGTTGATCTGTGGAAGACATTGATTAGCAAGATTCCAGATCCTTGCAACTAAAATTCATTAATCACAACCACTATTTTTTTAATGAAAATTTTTTAAAATTAATTTATTTTTTATTGAAGGATAATTGCTTTACAGAATTTGGCTGTTTTCTGTCAAACCTCAACATGAATCAGCCATAGATATATATATTTCCTCCCTTTTGAAACTCCCTCCCATCTCCCTCCCCACCCCACCCCTCTAGGTTGATACAGCGCTGATATTTGAGTTTCCTGAGCCATACAGCAAATTCCCATTGGTTATCTATTTCACACATGGTAAAGTATTTTGAAACATTCTAAGTGCTTTAGATATGATTTGGAAAACTTACTCTGTTAATAAAAGGCCATACATCAAAATTTTCCTCAGAGCTTAAAGAAAAATGACCCAAGCCATCTAAATCAGTCTTAAAGAGCCTTTCTCAGGATGCAAAATAAATGAATAAATCAATAATAAGACTTAGTAATTAAATCATATTGATTTTTGTTATATTTCTCTTAGGTCAAATTTATAAAAATTTATATTTTTGTGTTTCTGTAATAGGCTTTTGGAATTTTTTATATTACTTAATGTGTCCATACTTCCAGGCTTTTTTAAAACAGAATTTTTCTAAAGAAAGTATTCTGAAAAGAGAATGTTTTCTATTGGGAATCAGAAAATAGAGGTTCCGGTCCTGAGTCTGTAGTTAATTAGCTGCAATCATAGTCAGATTATTGGTTAGCTTGGCTGCTTTGGGATCGTTTCTTCATACAGAAAATGAAAGCCTTGGCTAGTGATCTCTGTGATTTTCTTCGAGCTATAAAAGTTAATAAGACGATCTCAGTTTCAAGTTTATTGCCCCAAAGTCTAAAACATTATAGAAGGTTATAACTGCATATTTAGTTTTATGACAGTGTCAGTCATAGTTAAGGTTTATCAGATTCCAAGATGGCTTTGGTCAGGCATCCAATCACATCTATAGTTTCTGTGGGGTATGTTTAACAAGTTATAAACAGCAAGATTTCTAAGAATATTAATGTCTGAAATAGGGACTGCTTCCATTATTATAATTGGCTCATGGAGGTAATTTTAAGACACTAACAAAAAGGCAATAAGCAAATAAGCTAAAGTGAAAGACTTCCATCTACATGCAGCTTGTTTTTTATCTCCTGCAGAGAGCTAAGAATAATGAATATTTTTCAGAGCCCTTGACTGATTTGCTAAGAAAATCTTTTACTTATGCAATATAAACACTTGAATATGGAAGAGTTCATTTCCGACTTGATAAAGGAATTATTCAAAACTAAATAAATAAGCACATGTGCAAATCCAGCATTATGGTCAATTTCATTATCCAAGTCTACTTAAGTGATAATGCAAGTCAATGTTCTCCTGGGATAGTCATTCAAAACAGATAGTAAGTCTACTCTGAAAAATATTCTATGACATAGTTAAATATATTTATTATTTATTTCCATTAGCAAAACATTCTTGAGAAATGATTATACTCAGCAATATTAGTCTATAAAATTTGCATGTGATAAGATGCACAGAACGCTTGTTGACAAGTGATTCCTTAATTAGATCTCTTGACTTGAAATAAAGAAAACTTCCAAATCTACTGAAACCAGACATCTTGAACAAGCACGTGCTCTCTTTTTCTGTCTGTCCTTTAACTTTACTATGTTCTCTTTTCTAGTTGGTGTAAAATCCTGCCCATAAAATATTGTTTTAATGGGAGCCTATTTAATTTAATGGGCCTATTTAATGGGGGATCTAACAGAATTATCCTTTTCTTCTAGAAGATAATACTATGTTCTTTCAATATTTTTTAATGAGTAAGAATTTAAAAGACAATTATGTGATGTCTGTTTAGACTTAAGGATGAAGGTCCTATAATTAGTCATCAAAATAAAATGAAACTTTTAATTTGCTTATTTAGCAGAATACAGTATTTTTAGTATCTGAAAATACTAAAAGTTGATACAGAGTATCAACATCATAAGATAAATACAGCATTATTTCCTTATAACTGTATAATGGATTTCTAAATTATTTCCATGATTTTGATTCAATTTTCTACAGTGTCTTATATTAAAACAAATACACTCAGTCCTCAATATTTATTTGCTTTGCTTTAACTTTTAGTTATGATTATCATACACAGAAATTTAAAGGAGCATTTATAGATATTTAGATTTGACAAAAATCACATCACTATTTTGTGTTATAGGATTTTTAAAAAGCCTCATTTTCTTTTAAATTATATACTGTGCATACAATACAGAACATCAACTGAAAACATACTACATGGATGTGACTCAGGAAAAGGAAAATATTTATCCTCACATATTTTTATTGAAACACACACAACCTATTCCTTTAAATTTTAGGGCTTATTTGAAGGAAAAAATTATTCTTCAATTCTAAATTTTGACTCTCTATTAAGTATTTTCTAATATTAAACGGAACCAATCAAAATGTCAAAATACCTTTTGTACAGCTTCTTCCAGGCCCTAATTATTGGGGTTTTCCATTTTACATATTTAGTGTGTTTTGCATAAAAAGAAATTAAGTCTTTTCTTTTTTTAGTGTATAGCCTAAGGTCTTATAAAGCAAAATTAAGAA